CTAGTTCCAGGACAGCCTCCAAAGCCACAGAGAAACTCTGTCTCGAGAAGCAAAACCAAACAAAAAAGTGGTAGGGGGCTGGAGAAATGGCTCAGCTGTGAAGAGCACCGGCTGCTCTTCCAGAGGTCCTGAGTTCAATTCCCAGCAATCACATGGTGGCTCACAACCATCTATCACGAAATCTTGTGCCCTTTTCTTGTATGGATGAAAACAAAGCATCCATATACATAAAATAAACATATTTAAAAAACCCAAAAATCAAATGCCTTTTCCCTGCTCAAACGTAAAGCAAAATATCATCTCTAACTGACTTGTACACACTACATATTCCATACTTGCAATAATGCAGATAAATATGATATATCTATATCTACATATAATTGTTTTGGTTTCTCAAGACAGGGTTTCTCTGTGTAGATTTGGAGCCTGTCCTGGCTCTATAAAACAGGTTGACTTCATACTCACATAGATCTGCCTGCCTCTGCCTCCCAAGTGCTTGGATTAAAGCTGTGCACCACCACCATCTGGCTATATGTTACCTTTAAAAGTTTGTGTGTTTTCAGAAAGAAAAGAATCAGATATCAATAAAGACAAGTATCCCAGATGATCCATGCTATGAAAATGCTACCTCAAAATTCTGTATCCAGCACAATTTCAAGGCTGCTAGCTAAGATGGTCCAGCCTCATGCACTGCTCCAGCCAGGACTTCAGATAAGCCCTGCACTTTCCCATCACAGAGACTGGAGAACAAATGATATAGCTAGCTCTCCCAGGACTTGACAATTTGTATATGTGTTTTTACTCTTGTTTAAGACATTGTACCTATGAAGCTCATTTAAAATGTAAAGTTTCAGTGCTTGAACATTATTTAGGATAATAAATAAGTGCAGGTAAGTAGTGAGTTATCTGTAACAATCGAACTTGTAGTAGTGTTATACTTGTTTTCTTTTTTTAATTTTATTTATTTATTATGTATACAACATTCTGCTTCCATGTATATCTAAACACCAGAAGAGGGCACCAGATCTCATAACAGATGGTTGTGAGCCACCATGTGGTTGCTGGGAATTGAACTCAGGACCTCTGGAAGAGCATCCAGTGCTCTTAACCTCTGACCCATCTCTCCAGCCCCTATACTTGTTTTCAAGGTTAAATAGACATGTATTTTAAATAGATATATGGTCAAACACTTCAAAGACCTACAGAATATGACGTTTATAATGTTTTAATAACATAAGGCTTTTCATGAGAGTGAAACATGTCTACTCCTGGCAATATCAATTTACTTCGTAAAGGATGATGAGCATTGAAGAAACTCCATATGGAGTTTGCTTTCAATATGGCAAAGCTAGCCATTTGGGCAAGAAACTGTCCTTGCCTCAACTACTGACAGCATGCTCTCCTAATTGGACAAGCAAGACACAAAAGAACGTGTCTGCTGAAATATGCCAAGAAAGGTAGCGCAATCCTTCAAAATTCCTGCTTCACAGGAAAGTCTGTCAGATATTCTAGGCCTGTAGGCCAAAGATGGGTGCCCCAACATTGAAGGGGAAACTTGGGTGACTGTCCAGGCAGTCAGAAGTTTCTGTCATTCCTATAGTTTTGGAAGTTGTTAGCTCTACACTTCCTGTCTACTCAGAAAATATTGTAGCCTTTCTCAGGTATCTGATGGAGTTGAAGACAAGATAGTTGTAGTTACAGTTTTCCTTGTTAAGAAATCCAGGAAAGAACCTCAGAAAAGAGGTATAAAGTGCATAAGGTTGAGAGACATAAATGCTTAAATTGTAGCTGTGCTGTGGTGGTACATGCCTTTAATCCCAGCACTTGGTAGGCAGAGGCAGGTGGATCTCTGTGAGTTCGAGTCCAGCCTGGTCTCCAAATGGTGTTCTAGGATAGCCAGAGCTGTTACAAACGCCAAAAACCAAAAAAAAAAAAAAAAAGCTTTAAATTGCTTATCTAAAGAAAATATTTTGAGGGGCTGGAGAGATGGCCTAGAGGTTAAGAGCACTGATTGCTCTTCTGGAGGTCCTGAGTTCAATTCCCGGCAACCACATGTTAGCTCACAACCATCTGTAATGAGATTTGGTGCCCTCTTCTGGCATGCAGGCGTACATGCTGACAGAACAGTGTATACATAATTAATAATTAAATCTTAAAAATAAATGTTTAAAAAATATTTCATTAAAAAAGAAAATATTTTGAGGCCTAAAAATTAGTTTTGGGTTAATAATACAAGTTATGATAAAAAGTGGTTTAGGTATAAAACTTTGGACTCATTAAGATTGGATAGATGATAGAGTGCTTTCTCCAAAATTGCCAAACACAAATGGACTGGACATTGTAAATGTAATTCTCACCTGATAATTGCTCTTATTGTATATATCTTCATTATGTTAGAGTTACAGCCCTTTCCTTTTTATTTTGCTGAAAGGTGAAATGTTACTAGATATGTGGTTGCACTGTGTAAAGATATGTCACTGTGATTAACTTATGAGAGCTAGTTAGAAACAAGCCTCAGCTAAGGCCAAGCTTCCATATTCAATAAGAAGTCTCCGTGGGCTGTTTTTGGATCGCGGTGAGGCCAGCACACTGCAGCCATGACAGGCTGATGTGAATCCGACGGCCTATCCCCTGGCAGATGCTTTCCTCACCAAGAAGCTGCTGGACCTTGTGCAGCAGTCCTGTAACTATAAGCAGCTTCAGAAAGGAGCCAATGAAGCCACCAAAACCCTCAACAGGGGCATCTCTGATTTCATTGTGATGAAATCACAGCAGACTCTGAGCCCTTGGAGATCATCCTGTACCTCCCACTGCTGTGTGAAGGCAAGAATGTCCCCTATGTATTTGTGCGCTCCAAGCAGGCCCTAGGACAGGACTGTGGGGTATCTAGACCTGTCATCATCTGTTCTGTTACCATCAATGAAGGCTCTCAGCTACAGCAGCAAATCCAGTCCATTCAGCAGTCCACTGAGAGGCTCTTGGTGTAGGCTGTGGCCTCTTCCCTTTCCTGTCTGTTCCCACCCTACTTGTGCATCATATTGTCTGTTAGCATGTAAGGGTTTCAGCCACTTTCTATTATAAACATTGTACTACATCTGGTTTTTGTATTTTGATTGTCTTACAGGGTTGTTTTGTCCCCATCTCCTCATCCTCTCTTCTACCATTTTTTAAATCTTTAAAAAAAATGAAATGATACCTAAGACAGGCGAGAGGCAGAATGTCACTGTTTTACAACAGGAAACACTTAAGCCAGGGATAGTGTCTACTTTCAGCTGCAAACTCATTCCTCTGTGCAGGTTAAGATTATGGTAACACTGGTCCCTTTTGCCTTTTCATACAAAATCTCTATAATGTTACCATGATGGTGGTCCTGTCCACCACCATGTGAAGAGGAAGTTTGATAATGTTAAGCCTGTGTCTAAGTGCCGTTTATTAATGTCTGTGTGTTTTTGATGTGTGTAACCTTTTATTCTCACCCCATTCCCTACTGAGGGTATCAAGGCAGTAACACTCCAAAGGGGGTAGTGTGCAGACTCAGAGGCAGCCTGGGTGAGTTTGACTGCTTGGATCTTGAAGAGTAGCAAAGACAAAATAGTCAATTCATGCTGGAATAAAAGATCTTGGGGCTTGAGCTTATAGCAGAGACAATGCTATCAGGAACATTCTGTCCTTGGTTGAATGGGGATTGCTTGTGAAGCCGTTTGACATTCACTTTGGGAGCCCTTCTCCTCCTCCTCCCACAACATGGCTCAAATGTATTCTCTATCACATGAAGAGTGAAAATAATGTTCATTCTTGAACATACTAATAAAGAACTATGTTCATATTTCATTTTAAATGAAAAAAAAAGAAGAAATCTCCATGTCATTTCAGGAAGTTGGCTCCAGAGACAGAGGCAGATTCTTAGTCTACAGCACTTTTATCCCATGGGAAGAGTGACTCCTGGATGAAATGCCAACCATACTCTCATCCCAGCAGGGGACCACAGTCCTGGCTGAAATGTTGACTGGACCCTCACCCCATCCCTGAGCTGCTCTCCACCTTAGCCACTCCCAGGTGGGCTTTACTAAGTGTCAAGACAACTTGTTCCCAAGCTTTAGGTGATATGCAAAATGTCTTTGTGAACTGAAGACTCAGAAGGCTCAGTAAGGTGCTCCTCTGGGGACTTAGAACTTTCATCCTGGACAGCTCCTTTTGCTCCCTGTGTGATCTTGGGGAGGGAGTCTCAGCTGGCTGAGCCTCAGTTTCCCTACCTGTGCAACATAGATATGACTAATGGCTACTGTCACAGGATGACTGGCTCAAATGAAATGGGTGAAAACTAGGGAAGGGGTACTCAGGATCCTTGGAGGAGAGAGAGGATGAGAGACAGGCGAGCAACTGCCCCATCTACCCCTGTGCTGTACATCTGGAGCACGATTCCTTCTGGAGCCTGCCTCAGTTTCCCTTCCCATCGAATGGGGAATAAGGATAGATTGCTATGATAGAAGGGCTGGCCATATGACCTGATCCACAGCTACAGGGTAATTAGTGTCTAGATGGATAAATGTCAGCATGGAGGTGGAGTCAGGAGATGCAGGAGGAGTTCAAGGGCATCCTCCACTACATAGTGAATTTGAGGGTTTTAACTCAGTCACAGTGCTCGACTAGCACACACAGAGCCTGGGTTCCATCCCAGATTTGCACAAAGTAGGTGTGGTGTTGCACACCTGTGGATGACCTGTCTGTCTGTCTGTCTGTCTGTCTGTCTGTCTGTCTGTCTGTCTGTCTGTCTGTCTGTCTGTCTGTCTGTCTGTCTGTCTGTCTGTCTGTCTGTCTGTCTGTCTGTCTGTCTGTCTGTCTGTCTGTCTGTCCCTGAGTCCAGGCTCCCTGGGAGATTAAGGTAATGCCTCAGTCTGGGTGTGGTGTTACATGTCTTTAATTCTCACAAGTGGCAGAGGAAGGAGGATCTCTGTGAGAGTTCCAGGCCAGAAGTCAGTGAGATCTGTCTCAAAAATCAATATCAACAACAAAAATAATGCTTGAAGCTGCTGAGGATGATGGGTTGTCCTTGTGTCTTTGTCTCCTACTCCTGACATCTTTCAGGGGAATATTTACTAAAAGCTGTGTGTAGGAGCTCAGGCCTCTCAACCCAGCTACTTGGAAGGCAGGAGGACTGCAGACTCAAGGCCAGATTTGACTAAGGAGTGAGACCCTGTCTCAAAAAGTACAGTTGCTAGGGTATGGATCAAGGGCACAGCTCTGTGTAGAATCCTCCCTGTGAGGGGCTGGGGCATGGCCCAGTGTATTCTTTGTGTTGCTTAGGATGAACCCCAGAGCTTTCTTTGCACTTGCTAGTCAAGGAGCTATACTCCTACCCGAGGAAACTTTTCCTGATGTTATCATTGTGGCCTGTCTTCTAGTTCCAGTGACAAGAACTTCTTTTTTTTATTTTTTATTTTTTGTTTTGTTTTGTTTTGTTTTGTTTTTCAAGGCAGGGTTTCTCTGTGGCTTTGGAGGCTGTCCTGGAACTAGCTCTTGTAGACCAGGCTGGTCTCAAACTCACAGAGATCCACTTGCCTCTGCCTCCCGAGTGCTGGGACTAAAGCCGTGCACCACCACCCGGCAACTACAACTTCTCATTGCAAACTAGATGAGCCCCCTCCTTGGATCTGCCTACCTCCATTGGATAGACCCTGGCCCTCCCCACATCAGCTGCTCACCAGTAGTTCTGTGATGTCAGGGTCTTCTGGAGCCCAGGGTGTTGTAGGAGAAACAGGTGGCCCTGGAAGTGCCAGTGGACCACTGTCCTCAGTGGTGGAGTCTGTGCCTGAGGAGTCGGGCTCCATAGCAGCCAGGTTGAGCAAGGACACGTTGGTGCAGGCTGAGGACCGCTTGAGGTTCAGGCACCAGTGCATCGGCTGGTGGGACATCCGGGGCTCCACCCTGCAGGTGACCCAGGAGATGGTAGGGATGGGGTGCCAGAGGGGTGGGCCTTATATCGTCAACACAGCACCTGAACTCTCTTGAGGCCACCGGACCTCCTGTTCCTTCGCCTACTGTCACCCTGCTGGACTCTCTGCTCAGCCCCCATGCCTGCGTTCTTCCATTACTCCCCCTCTCCTCCCGATGCTCCCTTCAACCCACTGCCTTCTCCTCCCTGGTCTGTAATACCCTCTTCTTGCCCCTCCTTTGCCTTCAGCACCCATGCTTTGCTGCAGGCAGTGTCGTGACAGGCACTAGGCCTGGGAGCAACAGGGTGCAGGAAACCCACCCATGGAAGGACACGGCCTTCTTTTTCTTCGTGATCCCCTTGATAGGGCTGGTCACCCCCCCGGGAGCCTCGGGGACCAGCTGGGCGCGGCTCTCGACCCCCTCAGGTGGGTCTCCCGCCTCATGGATCTCTTTGGACTGCCAGATTGTCTTCACCACCACGCTTGCCATGGCGCGGGGGGGGGTATCTGATGGAGTTGAAGACAAGATAGTTGTAGTGACAGTTTTCCTTGTTAAGAAATCCAGGAAAGAACCTCAGAAAAGAGGCATAAAGTGCATAAGATTGGGAGACATAAAAGCTTAAATTTCAGCCAGGTGGTGGTGGCACACGCCTTTAATCCCAGCACTTGGCAGGCAGAGGCAGGTGGATCTTTGTTAGTTCCAGGCCAGTCTGATCTACAGATGGAGTTCTAGGATAGCCAGAGCTGTTACAAAGAGAAACCCTGTCTTGAAATGCCAAAAACAAACAAACAAAAAAGCTTAAATTGCTTATCTAAAGAAAATATTTTGAGGCCTAAAAAGTTAGTTTGGGGTTGGTAATACAAGTTATGATAAAAAGTGGTTTAGGTATAAAACTTTTGACTCATTAAGATTGGATAGATAATAGAGTGCTTTCTCCAAAATTGCCAAATACAAATGGACTGGACATTGTAAATGTAATTCTCACCTGATAATTGCTCTTATTGTATATATCTTCATTATATTAGAGTTACAGCCCTTTCCTTTTTATTTAGCTTAAAGGAGTAATGTTACTAGATATGTGGTTGCACTGTGTAAAGATATGTCACTGTGATTAACTTATGAGAGCTAGTTAGAAACAAGCCTCAGCTAAGGCCAAGCTTCCATATTCAATAAGAAATCTCCATGTCATTTCAGGAAGTCGGCTCCAGAGACAGAGGCAGACTCCTACAGTCTACAGCACTTTTATCCCATGGGAAGAGTGACTCCTGGATGAAATGCCAACCATACTCTCATCCCAGCAGGGGACCACAGTCCTGGCTGAAATGTTGACTGGACCCTCACCCCATCCCTGAGCTGCTCTCCACCTTAGCCACTCCCAGGTGGGCTTTACTAAGTGTCAAGACAACTTGTTCCCAAGCTTTAGGTGATATGCAAAATGTCTTTGTGAACTGAAGACTCAGAAGGCTCAGTAAGGTGCTCCTCTGGGGACTTAGAACTTTCATCCTGGACAGCTCCTTTTGCTCCCTGTGTGATCTTGGGGAGGGAGTCTCAGCTGGCTGAGCCTCAGTTTCCCTACCTGTGCAACATAGATATGACTAATGGCTACTGTCACAGGATGACTGGCTCAAATGAAATGGGTGAAAACTAGGGAAGGGGTACTCAGGATCCTTGGAGGAGAGAGAGGATGAGAGACAGGCGAGCAACTGCCCCATCTACCCCTGTGCTGTACATCTGGAGCACGATTCCTTCTGGAGCCTGCCTCAGTTTCCCTTCCCATCGAATGGGGAATAAGGATAGATTGCTATGATAGAAGGGCTGGCCATATGACCTGATCCACAGCTACAGGGTAATTAGTGTCTAGATGGATAAATGTCAGCATGGAGGTGGAGTCAGGAGATGCAGGAGGAGTTCAAGGGCATCCTCCACTACATAGTGAATTTGAGGGTTTTAACTCAGTCACAGTGCTCGACTAGCACACACAGAGCCTGGGTTCCATCCCAGATTTGCACAAAGTAGGTGTGGTGTTGCACACCTGTGGATGACCTGTCTGTCT